TACTGTTGACCTTTGAGCAAGATACTTCAACTGCACAGTTCCAGTAAAACACCCAGCTGTATGAATGTGGGCACATGTAAGTCGCTTTGGCTAAAACCAACCGATAAATTATTAGTAATCGGATATATCTACAAATAAACAATTTGGAAGAAACCATATTATGAAAGAGTATCTAATCAGTTAATAGTCTGTACATACAGGACATTTATAACTTACTCCCAAGAAGAGTTTCTAATTTATTTTCTATGAATTTACACATGATAAAACGCATGACTGGAAAATATGACATGAAATATTCAGAGCATGTGCAACACATCTTGCACTTCTAAACTACTCTTAGTGCAAGATCACCCAGGGTGCTTCCCACTGAAAAAAACAATTACAGAAATAATTAACTCAACATGTAATCTGGCAGCCCATGAAAAAAGGAAAGAAAAAGCATTCAAACTTTTTTTTTTAAAATACACAGTAATATAAATAGCTTATACTGTCTTGAAACTGTTTGAAATTCACATTATATAAAGTTTATCTGAAAATATATTCATGAGGTGAGCCCAGCAGAAGAAAAGCCAGCAAATAATGTACAAGGGTCCTTGTGTTTGAATTGCTCATACAGAGTTGCCTTGGAAACTCTTTTGTTTTGATGGCTCAACCAGTGGTGAGGCTTTTTAAAATATTCAGACATTTCCCACAAATGATCATTTACATTCATCACAGAAACAGTCTATGCCGCAAATAAGCTTGCTTGCCAGCTGGACCCAAAGCTCGCATACAGTGAACAAACCTATCAATTAGACCATACCTAAGAATATATAAAAACCTGGCTTCACAGACTGTGATTAAGAACCAAAGTCAGGTCAGATGCAAGGTGGACAATAAAGGACAGAGAAACCACTGGAATAGTGGTTCTTAAACACAGGTCTGGGATCTCTAGGGACCCCAAGAGCAGAATATAATGTTTGACTCCCAGGCTCATCAGCAAGCTAATCACTTTAGTACAGTGGATCTCTCCTCTCTCAGCATTTACAAAACATCTATAGATCTGCAGTTCTTCTTTAAATTTTTATTATAGTTTTATTATTCAGCCATCTACCCTTTTTCCCCAGGAGGATCACTAGGGAGCTAGAGCTGATCCCGGCAAGTTATGGACACAAGGCAAGTTACACCCCAGATGGGACGCCAGGGCAGGGCAGACACACGCACCAGGGGCAATTTTACCACAAGCCAGTTAACCTACCAGTATGTCTTAGGGCTACAGGAGGAAAACAGAGCACCTGCAGGAAACCCACACAAGCATGAGGAGAACAGACAAGCTCCACAGAGACAGCAGCCCAGGAATTGCATGAGGAGAACAGACAAGC